AACATGCAATGCTTGAGCACGAACCCTGACAGACACCTCGCTGGAAACCGCCGGAAGTCCCCAACTACAAGATCAACGTGGATGTAGCAACTTTTGCAGATTCAGGGACGGGTTTGGGGGTGGTGGTTCGAGATCAGAATGGATCTTTATGTTTTGCGTTTGTGAGAAGTTCGAGGATTCAATGGACTCCGGAATTGATAGAGATTCAAGCTATAAAATTTGGATTGGAAGTGGCATTAGAGGAAGGGTTTGTCTCGGGAGAGAACGAATCAGACTGCCTGAGAGCATACCAGCAGATAGCAAAGGAAGAAATGTCGTTAACGGAGGAAGGAGGTGAATGCGAGGAGGTGAATGACAAATTGGAGGAACTGGGCGGATCAGTGACCATCAAGTTTTCGGGCCGAGAATCCAACCGGGTGGCCCACATCATGGCACATACCCGGTGTAGATGGGATGAAACTAAAATTTGGGCTTCCAGGCCATCCATTTTCCTTGTGGACCAGCTGATTTATCATTCCTATAATATTTCCCACTAATGAAATAATACAAGATTTTTCTATAAAAAAAAATATACATGCTTCCATCATTTAAGATTATCTGTCTAACAGTAACAGAGTCCGAAATTCGATTGAGGGGGGGCTAAATATTTAAGCACAGAGAATTCAAACTGGCGAGGGGCCTAATACCTTATCAACTACTATATTTTGCCAATTTATTATAAAATTTACATGTAATTTTACATGATTTTGAGAGTTGAGGGGGCTAGCTATACCTTCCCCTGCCACTAAGGTAGCTCCGCCAATTTTGTCTAACATCGAAAGTAACTTTATCTCGTAGTACCTGTTGTTCATATTGCAATAAACTGTGTACCGCGAACAAAGCCAATATAGTACACAAATATCATGAAAAATTCATACACGCCAAACTTATCAACCATGTTCTACTAAAGAACGTCTGATATTGGGCATGATTATCTAGTTGACCCTTTTCCTTGTAACAACCCCAACATTTTCTCAACCAAGATGTTGTCTGTATGGTTTTATCCTTAGGGTGCATATCAAGGACACTTCTCATAAGGTCACCCATCATTGCAGTGCTCCACATCGAGTACGTTTAACTTTGGAATTCTCACAATAACTCTGCCATTTCACCTCAAAACGCATCTTGCCAGGTAAGGTCGGTTTCTTACTTATGAATCATGGACCCCCCTCTCAAAGACCCGGGACTTAACATCATTGTTGAGATTTATCCCCACCATCGTTCATCATCGTTCAAGAAAGACACAATCGTTCATCGTTCAAGAAAGACACAGAGATTGAGATTATCTAGTTGAGCATAATCCATGAGAAAATGAAAGTTTAATTAATACCTCCTATTTTCAAAAGCAGGTGAATCGAAATCATAAGGAATGTCACTCCATAGTGTAAGTGGATGGAAACTAGCTATCCTCATGTATAAAGGGAACACAACTCATTAGCTGCGGTAGGAAGGAAGAATAGAGTTAAGAAGGAAGAATAGAGTTAAGAAAAGGGTATTTTTCTTTTGCGCGTGGATTCTCTTTGCTGCTTTTTTTTTTGACGAATTATTCTCTTTGCTGCTGAAACGTATTATTATTCATCAAACCTTTGTAATTTCCCCATGATATATAGTTTGTTATAAGAAGCAAAATTCCACAAAGTGTACACTAATGTCAACCTCCCTGATCACCTTCGATCCCCTAATGGCAGCAAATGCAACAGTCAACACAACAAGTACATCTGTATATACGCCAATAATAAGAATATATAGTCTTCACCCAACTTTCTCATCAGTCTATTTTTAGAGCAACGAAAAACTGGGCCAATGAACAAGAAAAAAATGGTGCCAGATGGAAGCTGCAGGTGGTACAAGGAGCTGCCATGGGTTGCATGCAGCGACTTAATTAATTATCATCCAAATTTAAATTATCAGAGTTTTGCCCACACGTACCCGTTCAGGTTTCGAGTATCCACGGTTATCCATGGGTAATAATTTCTTCTTATAATTCCAACCAATATGTTAATATTCACACGTATTCTCACATTACGTAAGAGGAAAAGTACGACAATAATTCACTAGATTGAAGAAGAGTAATTAATACAACATAATTTCATCAAAATATTATATTTATATGCTAAATATAAAATATTCTAGAGAAAAATAATGATTCTAAGTCGGATTCGGTGGATATCCACAGTTACGAATATTTTTGTCACGAAAAATGCTTCTGGTTCGAGTTTTACCCTACCCAATTAGGTTAGATTCGGTGGATATCCACTATTACGGATATTTTTGTCATCCTAATATTATTGGGTCTGGGTCGAATATTTTTACTCTGTTATCAATTGGCATTATAAGCAAGCAGCTATAAAAGTGGATGAACAGGGAATTAAAGGTGTGTAATTAATTGGGCAAAAGGTATAATAAAGAAGGAAAGCAGATGGTCCGCATTTCTCAAAACACGAAGACACAAAGGAAGGTGGCTACTTTTTGTTGTCTGTCTCTCATCATGGAGGTAGTTAAAAGGTCAATTTTACAATTATATGTGTGTTGAGGGAATCCCAAAATAATTTTTCAAATAGAGCACGAGATAATCATAAAAGTGACCATGTTTGTTTTCTTTCGAAAAAACCGTGGAGTTCATTCACGTTATTTAGTGATTATTTGTGTAATATTTATTTAACTCGGTTCTTATTTATATAAGAGTTGTTGTATCAGAATTTTCTTTTGGTTCTCCCCAAAAACACGTATTGACCTTTCGAGGGTAGTAACCTTTTGAAGAACGATTATTAGTTAATCATTATCGGTAAGCTTTCAATATAGTTGGTAAGCATTTTGCGGAGGGGAAATTCTCAGTTCTAACCTTGGTTGGACGCAAAAACACCAACCAGCCACATGTCAGTTTCTTATTTATGGAATCACTTTTCTTGTTTCTTAATATTTAATGTTCTTAATTATGTTAGATCAATTAAGCATTAAATTTAAAAAAGAAAGATTAACTCATTTATAAGAAACTTACATGTAGTTTAGTGGTTGGTTTGAAACTTTTGTCTGCAATAAAGTTGGAGCTAAGAATTTTCCTTTGCGGATTACTTATAGGAGTCGTTTGGATGAGGAATTGTAACTGATCAATTTGACACAATTGTCTCGTTTTGAGACAAATATACCAAATTGCCTCGTTTGCCAGCAAAAAGTTTAGGTGGATCAATATGCCTGAGGTATTTTGAATTGATCCGTTTTGAGTCAATTTCAATTATCTAGGGTGGAGGCAGATAATTCGAATTGACTCGTTTTAATTTCTTCGTTAATAAAACGAGACAATTGATCAAATTGATTCATTTATAGATTGATCCATCCAAACGACCCATAGTTATTTCTGATGATAGAGGAATCGTCAATAGTAACTTTTGGCTTGGGGGTCAATTAATAATGATTGTCGGGTCATTAGGCGTTAGTAAACTTCTAGGGTTTGGTTAGTAACTTTCCTTTGCAGGGTTTGATTTGCAATGATTTCGTAAGTCATTTTTTACCTTATCTATGGTTGTTGTATGTGCTGGTTTTTTCCTAGGAAGAATGATAGCTAAATCATGAGCCAGACATACTAGTTGAATGTCTTTTTTACCCTACATCCAAGTTGTACAGCATCAACATGGTCTTGGCTGAGGCTATCAGTTTGGTTTGGTTTGGTTTAGTTAACTATTAAATTAAGTATTAAAAATAAAAAAACTCAGCTAGTCCAAAAATCAAAACCGATAAAAGTCTAATTGGTTTTCGGTTAACCATTAAATGATAAGGCACTCAACGGTTTTGGTTTGGATTAATGTAGTCAAAAGCGTGTTTCTACGTAGAAGCGTTTTTGTGATTTAGAAGCGTAAAACCATAAGCTTTTAGCTTTAAAACGCATTTTTAACTACATTAATTATAAAATTAAGATTTTGGGCAAATGCGTTTTGGTGACCTAGAAGTGTAAAAGCGTAAGTCTTTAAAGCGCGATTTTAACTACATTGGTTTGGATAAACAAAAAATACAACCCATAATTTGGGAAGAGTTATGGAGTCAGAAAAAACAACAAGAAATATGAAGATAGGAAACAAACCTACTAAACATAAGTTGGTATAACACTGGTTGTTGTCGGTTATTGACTTAAGTAGTGAATTATCAGTTTTTTTATTGGTTTTAGGATTTAACCAAAACCATTAAGAAGTTACATGGTTTAAAACCAAAAATCAAAATCTTTAACCTTCTTACCAGTTTGGTTTCGGTTAAAATCAAAACCAATATGACAGTCCTAGTCATGGCCCAAATGATATTGTTATTGGGTTGTGCAACATCTACATCTTGAGTTGTATGACAATAAAGAGACGTCTATAGACATTTAAATTTTCTAAACTTACTATCTAAGATCTAAAATACGTACAAACTATATACACTAGTACCATACAAATATTACACGCGAATTTAACTATCCAACATCTATCAATAAACAAGATGAGTTTTCAGCCATATTCTTGTAAAATAGTTTTATGATTTGTGTATTAATTCACCAAGTTGGGTTACACTTACATTAACATTCATATATAGGCATCCTTTGAATAGTTCAAGTTATTGAGACCAATTAGTTTATGACATAGTATCAACGTCTAGTTTGTCCTTGAGGTCACATATTCAAGTTCTCATAACCCAATATTAACCGTTGAGTTGCATGTGTATACTTCAAATCAATGAGTTGATTTTCATTTGAGGAAACGCGTAATTAAGAAAGTAATTAAAATCCATCCAACTGGTTAATGACATGGGCAACAATTCATTTTCATTTTTTCTTGGTTGTATTAATTTGGTTCAGTTTGGAATTTAAATTTAGTCTCACACACCCAATTACTCCATTACCAACTATAAATCGCCATCCTTATCTAGAAGAAGTGATGATAAATGTCAAACATTTGAAAGATAGGGCTATCTATTTTGTGTCCTCATTTTTCTGGAAAACTTATAATTAATTAATATCCTGTTATTTTTATAGCTAGCCGCGATTGGCAAGTGCTGGAACTATAATTCACATACATACCGTAGACCTTTTCTCCAAAGAATGGAAGATTCTAATGCGTGACAAAGACAATTAAGTAGAATGACTCAATTAGGGGACAAATTGATAATACAAAACAAAATAAACAATCATTCTCCCTTTCAATCTTTCAATTTGTGCAAGAAATTAGAAGGTTTACTGGCTACCCATCTTTGATTCAGTATTTCTTTCTTGCTTCCACTCCTGAGTTCGATAGTCAGAACCGAGTCTTCTGCATAAACAAAAAGTTGTAAAAAGTTCAACTACATGTGGGAAAAGTATACATTGAGACAAATCAGTAGTCATAATTTTCACCTACAATAGAATTTGTACCTCCTTCCATGTCTGTTCTGCCTTGCTTCCTATTTTAGTATTCATGGCAGATTGCTTCTTTCTAATGTGCTGCGGCTTGTAACTGGTTCACTGTCTATGCTAGGCTTGTAACATATACTTAAGAAGGGGGTATGCATCTCTCTGCAACCTGCAAGTTGCCATATCGAGTTCTTTTCAGAACCAAATACAATCAATCAGCTTGGAATTTGTCGAAACATATGAGAGCGACGCAGATAAATTGAAACTAAAACAACGCTATGGTATGATTAATGATGTAAACTTACGTTGGTAAAAGATAAGTGATGAAGACGATAAAATCTGATTGTAGGAACTCGAGTTACTTAGGTTTTAACCTGTTACTCCCATGGATAAGCACCTGCAACCAGTAGGATACTTTACTTATTAGCTGTGACTGTCATGTAAAGCATCTAATAGCAATAATTGTTTTCCTTGCCTTGACAGGAAAGTATCTAACAACACAACACGAGGGCCTGAAAATTGTCCAAAATGTGAGGAATGCATGCATCAGAACCCCGTCCTTGCAATTGCCAGATCGGCTTCACCAGGGTAACACTGCATAATCGGAATCAAAAGAGTTGAAACCTGGAAAAACATTATCGAAGAACTCTTAAACTTGGCAGGAAAAGAACTTTTTGTATGCACATATACGATTATCAACTCTTTTATTTGAATCGACAAACCTTGCCCGTAAAGCTGACAAAAATAGATGCAAACTTCTTCCGGTGGTCGCCTGCCACAAATTGGAGTTAATTTTATAAAGTCCTGGGGAAAAAGGATGTACTAACCTTCTTGAGTGAGGAGAAACCAAGTAAGGAAAAGCAGAATTACATGATTCAATACTAGACAGAGCGCAACACAAATATGAATTTGCATGTGCAATAGTTTATTCCAAAGAAGTCAATCCTAGCCCATGACTATGGGAAGACTCGCATGATTCATCTACCCTAATACCTATTTCCTAATAAGTACTTCATGAAGAAAAAACCTATCTACTAATAATAGAACATTGTGAGGATGAAGGATGTTGCTAATCATTAGAAAATTACATACCATTCCATTTCTTGGCTTCAATGAAAAATTCAATGATCCAGCATAGCACTGCAGAACACAGCCAATCATGATCCACTACAATGATGCTGCCTTTGATGTTCTTTTCCGTCTTCTGATAAGTCCGGTCATTAAATTGACATAGGTTGATGCCTGTAAGGTTATACCGTTGTCTCTAGATTCATGAACATGTCGAACGGCATCCTTGTATTTTCCTTGAGCACATAATTGACTTATCTTCTCAGAATAAGCAATGGAACTTTCATCAGTTTCTGGACAAGTTGTACAGGTACCCTCATCTTGTCTCCCGTCCATTTGTATGGACTGAGATTCTGAATCACCCTTCTCAACCTCATTTAGAATGAAATCCTCAATATCACCAACCTTACCTGCATCAGTTACAGCTTTCAAGATGGCATTATATGTATATCTATCAGGATTCAGTCCCTTCTCTTTCATCTCTGCATAAAGAGCAGTTGCTTCCTCCAATCTCCTTTCTCTACACAGGCTTGATATAATGGTGTTATAGGTCACCAGGTCAACTTGCTTCCCTTTTGAAATCCACGTATGGAAAAGTTTAAGAGCCTTGTCAAGCATACCTCCAGTGCAAAGACCATAGAGAAGAATATTACATGTGAACACATCAGGCTTGAAAGAATTCTCAACCATTTGGTTATGAAACCGAAAGGCCTTCTCGATTTGCCCTTCCCAGCAGTATCCATGAATAATGGTATTGTAAGTAATTTCGTCTGGAGACAAACCATTTCCTAGTAACTCATTCAATAAATCTATTGCTTGATCAGTTTTCCCAGAGCGAGACAACCCAGCTATCATGGAGTTATAGGTGATGATGCTTGGAATAATCTTTTTCTCCTTCATCTCGTCCCAAAGATCTAAAGCTCTAGCAAGCTGCTCATGCTTAGAATATCCACTTATAAGAGTGCCATAACTAACCTCATCGACAAAGTAACCTCGCCTACTAGCAATGGAAAGCAGATCATATGCCTCATCAAGCTTCTTATCCTGACTAAGGGTGTGAAGAATTGTGTTAAGGGCGACGTTATCCAGCTTCGGTTGTTTCTTTTCCATATCATGCAATACACTGAATGCTTCATCCATCTTGCCTGCTTTGCAGTATCCATCTATAAGAGTATTGTAAGTAATGCAATCTGGAGAAAACCCACATTCCTCCATCTTCCTGACAGCATTTGCTGCTTCATCCATCTTCCCTTCCTTCACAAACCATTTAACCCTTATGTTATGCGTCACAGAATTTGGCTTCAGTCCCTTCCCTTCCATTTCTTCAACTAAACGAACCGCTTCTTCACCACTCCCGAACTTGAAACACCCATCAATCAAGGTGTTATAAGTAACCACATCAGGTGAAAACTCAAGCTTCTCGATCTCGTCCCTTAACCGAAATGCCTCGCTGATCCTGCCCACTTTACAAAGCCCATCAATCAACATATTATACGACCACATATCTGCAGAGACTTTACTCATCGTCATTAAGTCAATCATTTGCGACGCCTCCTTCAACCGCCCCAGTTTGCAATACCCAGATATCAGAATGTTAAATGTATTCACGTTAGGACGCAAACCTCTGTTTTTCATGTCCAGCAGCAAATCCCTGGCCTCATTTAACTTCCCTTTCTTGCACATTCCATCCAGTATCGTATTATACGTGACATTGTCAGGTGAACAACCATGCTGCCCCATTCTATCCACAAGCTCCAATGCCTCCTCGAACTTGCTCTCTAAACAGCAACCCTTTATCACAATGTTGAAAGTGTTGGAGTTTACCTTGACGCCCAGGCCGATCACATCTTCCAGAACATCCTTGGACAAAGAAACAGCATGCACAGAAGGATACTTCACCAAACCATTCAACAAAGTGTTGCAAGTGAGCACATTCGGCTTGAGCCCGAACCTCTTCATCTTCCTAAAGATATTGGCGGCATCGTGAGGCCGACCAGCTGCAACATAAGCTCCAATGGACAAATCATAAACACCCCGCGTGACTCGAGTTCTACTATCGGGGTGGAGGATGTGGTAGTGAAGCGAATTCAACTTATCGGAGGCGATGAACGAGGTCATTAGGGTTTTGGCGTCGACGAACTTGTGGTGCGCGACGAGTGAAGAAATCACGAGGAGGAGAGGGAGCGGAGATCGGCTTAGTGTCTCCGGCAGATGCGCCTGAGACCACTTGAGCAAGGAGAGGAGAGTGGTCGGCATTCGCGCCAAGGTGTTTGACGAGAGGAGCGACACGAGAAGATTGGAGTTGGCGGAGAAATGAGGGATGTAGGAGCTTAGCTTCTGGAGTGGCTCTTTCTCTGTGGTCAGGATCTTCGTCAGAACCTCGACAAGCTGCGGCGTCACTGACGTCGCCGGTGGTGCCCCACGTTCCATATTGCCGTCGCCGGGAAGTTTTGGGGATTTAACAGAGTGGCGGCCGTTGAATTCAATCTGTGCATCAGAGGAACCCGCAGTTGAAATGCCCCTTCTCGGGAAAGAAGTCCCAAGAACAGACCAAGGCGATAAATTTAGATTAGAGCTTATCCCACTGCCACCAAACTTGGGGAGGCTCCCACTCTTCAACTCTGATGTCTGCAGTGCAGGAGAGCATAGCCCAAGTCAAGAACGCATAGGAAATTCTTCAGGACATCTAATTCTAAACTGGGTGATCACTTCCATTGAACTTCTAATGCCATTAACCAACATAAAGCAAGTAAATTCGGTATCAAGGAAACTGGATATTTCTTTCCACGACATTGAACTCGTTCTTATAGAAAAGCATGAATCAATAGGAATGATCATTCTTTAAGGACGTAATCACAGAAACAGGTTTCCGCCCTTTTCCTCCGTAAAAAGAGCGGAACACCGAAGGGGACCAAAGCAAAAAGAGGAGGTAGTAGTAAGAGACCATACCGATGGGCGAGGAGAGCCAGAAGGGAAATGGTGAAACGCGCGGAGAAAGTGATTCTTCGAACAGCGAGGGCAATCCGAAGCCGAAGAACAGAACCTGTGATTTTCATAGCCACAGTTGGCGAATGAAGCGCCTACTCTTCCGCTCGACTGCAACCGCGCAGTTACGGAGCTGCTGCCGAGGGTTTGCCTTCGAACCAATGCGCCGATGAGAGATCGCATTTCTTCTGCTGGGAATCGGCAAACGCGAAGGTTAGATTGGAATTAAGATACGGGGAAGTCTTCTTTGCAGAGGTAAGGTTTGGATTTGACTAGGGGAGGCGGATGCTAGATCAGATAGCAGGGATGACGGAGGACCCTCGTCGTCTGTTCGACGGAGACGGTCGACGAGAAGGGGGAACGGGTGAGGAACTGAGGAGGAAGGCTGATGTTTGGTTTGGAGCGAAACAGAATCGCCTGAAGGAGAAGGGAGAGGGCCACCGGTAGTGGGCTTGCCCAGACAGATGATTCAATTGGGCCCCCACGATTGACCAATAGTTGGGCCTTGAAAATAAAACGAGCCTGGGAAAGGGAACGTGGCATGCTGGGACTTTGTTTGAAGGAGAATTCATGGATTTCTACAATCTGGATTATGATCCCACATGGGTTGGATTAAGGGATATTTGCTTGTTGGATTTGAAAAATGAGGGATTTGGCTAAAAAATTTTTTTGGATTTATGAGGGATTTGTACCATCATGGATTTGAAGAATCTATTGTTTGCATGATAGATTTGATGATATAATTATGATGGATTTGCTATAAATATAACTAGTCATCAAGGATTTACAAATCCCATCCCAATATGTGGGATTTACAAGTCTGTGGGGTCCACGGATTTGGATCCAAAAAAGAGAACAAATCCGTGGACCCCACGGATTTAACACCTGACAACAAACAATGGACTTGGCTAAAATCCATCATGCTTGGGATTTGAGTCCCAAATCCATGACCCAAATCCATCAAGCAAACGACCCCTAAGATTCAAATTCATGTTTGTTAATAAAAGTGAAGTTGGCCTAAATTGATTGGCCCATGTGATTTTATTTTGCTCAAAATCCATAGACCCCATGGATTATAAAATCCCACCTCATGAGGTAAGATTTTGAGAGTTGCCTAAATTCAGGGACCCCATTAACTATGAATGACCAGAGTATGAATTTACATCTGAATTTACATGTGCAATAGTTTATTCCAAAGTCAATCCTAGCCTCTTACACATGACTATGGGAAGATTCGAATGATTCATCTACCCTGATACCTATTTCCTAATAAGTACTCCATGAAGACAAAACCTATCTACTAATAATAGAACATTGTGAGGATGAAGGATGTTGCTAATCATTAGAAAATTACATACCATTCCATTTCTTGTCTTCAATGAAAAATTCAATGATCCAGCATAGCACTGCAGAACACAGCCAATCATGATCCACTACATTGATGCTGCCTTGGATGTTCTTTTTCGTCTTCTGATAAGTCTGGTCATTAAATTGACATAGGTTGATGTCTGTAAGGTTGTACCGTTGTCTCTAGATTCATGAACACGTCGAACGACATCCTTGTGTTTTCTTTGAGCACATAATTGACTTATCTTCTCAGAATAAGCAATGGAACTTTCATCAGTTTCTGGATAAGTTGTACAAGTACCCTCATCTTGGGGTCCCGATACTATAACAACACCCATAGTGTCAGGGGCGGAGCTAGGATTTAGCTTTCGGGGGGGCCGGAGTTCTCTTGATACTTTACCGTAAATAGCTAAAATTCTATTAAACAAAAACTCATTTTATTTTATTAAAAGCGCACAAAAAATTTATATTAAATTTGGAATAAATCAGAAAACTATATACAAGTTACTAACTCATTTCAATATTTTGTGGCGTAAACGATTTTAATAACTAAAGGCGAATATCTACCAATATTAATATTCTACCAAATTTATTCATTATATATTCAAAAATAACCTTAAAATTGAAGAATTTAATCAATCTAATTTAAAGTTAAATAATTAACAAACGAAATATGAAAGTTCAAGCATTGATCAATTTTATAGTTAAATAAAAACTTAAATCTAGTTTAAAATTAAATAATTAACAAACCAACTATGAAACTTTAAGCATTTTATAAAAAAAATTTAGTTAAATAAAAACTTAAAGGCCATATAACTAAAAATATTCATCATATTTCAAACTATCCTTGAAATTTTGAAAATAGTTTGAATGACAAATAAACTATTATGAAAATCATAGACTAAATTGACTATGTAGGAATCAAAACATAAACTATTACCAAAAAAGCTAGTGATAAAAACATACCATGCTTCACACAAGGATCGAAACCTTGACCACTAGTGGAGAGGGCAAGGGGCGATTCCACCAGACTACAGAGACTTTTATTGTTTTGTTTCACGTTGGTTAGTTTTATACATAACATTTAGTTTATACGTCTAATACCGAACTTTTACACGTGACTTTCAAAATTCTCGGGGGGGCCGGGGCCCCCCGAAGGCTGCTGTAGCTCCGCCCCTGCATAGTGTTGTTGTTGTAGTAACAACAGGGGTAAAAACGAAAACTCACTAAAAATACTAAATTAGAAATTAAAATAAAATAAAATAAACAAAGACCCCAAACCCTATCAGATCTCTGTCTTCTTAAAGATATTGGCGGCATCGTGAGGCCGACCAGCTGCAACATAAGCTCCAATGGACAAATCATAAACACTCCGCGTGACTCGAGTCCTACTATCGGGGTGGAGGGAGGATGTGGTAGTGAAGCGAATTCAACTTATCGGAGGCGATGAACGAGGTCATTAGTGTCTCCGGCAGATGCGCCTGAGACCACTTGAGCAAGGAGAGTAGAGTGGTCGGCATTCGCGCCAAGGTGTTTGACGAGAGGAGCGACACGAGAAGATTGGAGTTGGCGGAGAAATGAGGGATGTAGGAGCTTAGCTTCTGGAGTGGCTCTTTCTCTGTGGTCAGGATCTTCGTCAGAACTTCGACAAGCTGCGGCGTCGCTGACGTCGCCGGTGGTGCCCCACGTTCCATATTGCCGTCGCCGGGAAGTTTTGGGGATTTAACAGAGTGGCGGCCGTCGAATTTAATCGGCAAAGAAAGAAAGCAGACAGAGAGATGTTTGGAGCGAAAGAGAATCGCCAGGGAAGCTTTGGAAAGTCCAATTCCAATACAAATTCAGGAGCCATCCAATTCCTACGGGTTAGGTAATTTATATTGTGATGAAAACCCAGAATTTCTTTTTGAAGGTTTGGATGAAGCTAACATGTTTGGTGGTCAAGGTGATTTGGGCCTACTTAATCTTGAGGCCCACTTATTATCTTCAGACTCTGCAGTGTCATGCTCTCCGCTGGGGCCGGTGGAAAATGGAAAATCTAAAGGCAAAGCCATCTTGATAGAATCCTCGGAATCCCCGATTGTCTACACTCGAAGGAATGTGGGTATCTGTATTCAGGAGCCAGAAGAAGGCGTGGTGGATTCAATCCCCAAAATCATTCAAGAAGATAGGGTGGAGGAAGCCAACCCCAAGTGGCCCCAGTCCGATAAATGAATGTTTTCGCGTGGAATTGTCAAGGTGTGAGGAGTCCCTTGACATTCCAAACGCTTAAAACTCAGAGATGTTTATCTAAATCGTTTCTTTTTCTAAGTGAGACAATGTCTTCTAGAAGCACGGTGTCTTCTTTTATTTCTTCCTTAGGGTTTTCTGATTGTCATATTGTCGACCCTTCCGGTATGTCGGGAGGATTAGTTTTTGCTTGGCCACGGTTGGCTTCAGTGTCTGTTATTGGGTCCACATCCTTTTTTGTTGCAATTTCCATCATCAATAATAACTCCTCTCTCTATGGTGCGTGTCCTCGGTTTGTCTTGATTGGGGTCTATCTTTCTTACATCATCACGAAAAGGCAAGAACAATTAGAGGAATTAAAACGATTCTCCACTGGTCTCTCTGACCCTTTCCTAATTATTGGAGATGTCAATTGTTCCTTATTTCCCTCCGAAAAACTAGGGGGTGCAACGTGGCGGACGGATAAAGCTCGACCATTATGGGATTTCCTTCACTAAACTGGCCTCTTTGAACCTCCTTTCCAAGGACCCAAATTTACTTGGACGAACCGAGGCAGAAATGGGGTCACAATCGAACAAAGAATTGATAGAGTCTTTGTATCCCCCTTGTGGATGAATTATTGGCCAAACTCTACACTGTTTCATCTCTCCGACAAAGGATCAGATCATAGGCTCCTTCGCATGACCACTAGTGTTATAACCCCTCTTTTTAAAAGACTTTTCCGATTTGATATTCGTTGGACTGCAATGCCAGAGGCAGAACTAATCATATCTTACGTTTGGAACTCGCAAGTGGCAGGGTCAAACCAGTATTGTTTATTCTCTAAACTGCTACGAGTGAGACACACGCTAGTCGATTGGTGTAAAGGAGGGCAGTCCAATTCAGCCAGATTGATCAAGGACTTTGGTACCGCTTTGGAAAAGGCTAGGAATGCCCAAATAGTGGATTGGAACCTAGTACGATTCTTGGAGGAGAATTTGTCTATTCAATATAAAAGAGAAGAGATTTATTGGAAACAGAAGTCTCGTACTAATTGGTTAAAAGTGGGCGACAAAAATACCCCATATTTCCATTTAGTGGCCTCGTCAAGGCGCTTAAACAATGTGATTTGGGGTCTTGAGGATGAAAGAGGACAGTGGTGTACTTCTGAATCAGAGAAATGTGGCATAGCTGATAGATACTATCGAGGACTATTTCAAAGTCAAAATCCGACCGATGTAAATCTCTCCAGTCTAGTTTTCACCAATTATCTGACTGAAGAGCAGAATGTCGGGCTGATAGCTCCTATATCCGTTGAGGAAATAAAAAATGTGGTATTCAGTATGGGAAAAACCCAAGCCCCAGGACCAGATGGATTCACAGCCGGTTTTTTTCAACATTATTGGCCCCTGGTTGGTAAAGACGTTACTCAGGCAGTCTTATCGTTCTTTCGTTCAGGGAAGTTACTGAGAAGCTTTAATCGGACTTGGATATCTCTGGTACCAAAAGGATCGGAAGTTCGCACAATGAAAAATCTCAGACCGATTAGCCTTTGCCAGGTGGTCTACAAGGTCATTTCTAAGGTGCTAGCCAATAGACTTAGCAAAGTATTACCCTCGATCATCTCTCAATCCCAAAATGGTTTCATTAAAGACCGCCAGATTGTGGATAATATTATGATAAGTCATGAGATTTCCCATCATATTAAAACATTGTACTCAGGATCGAAGTGCTGGATGGCGCTTAAACTGGATATGGAAAAAGCGTATGATCGTATTGAGTGGCCGTTTCTGTTTGAAATGATGAAGGAGTTGGGATTCAATAGCCAGTTCGTTTCTTGGGTCCAGGAGTGTGTCACCACTGTCTCCTATTCCATCCTAGTTAATGGCACCCCGTCAGCTTATTTCAGACCCTCGAGGGGGCTACGCCAAGGGGATCCGCTGTCTTCTCTATTATTCGCCATATGTACGGAAGGCTTCTCTGCAATGATAAATCAAGCAGTAACCTTGGGATTTTTGGAAGGAATAAGAATACGCCAGACCTGCCCAATGGTCTCCCACCTCTTTTTCGCTGATGATTCTTTCCTCTTCGTTGAAGCAACTAGTGAGTCATGTTCCAACTTATTATCCCTGTTCCAAGGATACGAAAGACTAAGTGGGCAAAAGGTTAATCTTTCCAAATCCGCAGTCTTATTCAGTAAGAATACTAAGAGTGAATATGCAAGTTACATGGGGTCAAGGTTGGGAGTAGGGGCAATAGGGGCGCAAGATTCTTACTTAGGTCTACCCTCCCTTATTCCAAGAAGTAAGAAAGATACCTTTCTTTTCATTGAAGAAAGGGTTGGGAAAAAGTTGCAAGCCTGGAAGCAACGTACCTTATCCAAAGCAGGCAAGGATGTTTTAATCCGAACCTCTGCCACTAACATTCCAGTACATGGCATGATGTGCTTTAAGTTCCCTGTAGAAGCATGTAAGCGGTTAAATGGATTATTGGCACGGTTCTGGTGGGGCTCTACTGCTAATTTGGATCATCCAATTCATTGGATATCTTGGAAAGGTTTAGCTCAAAGCAAATTCCAAGGAGGATTAGGATTCAGAGACTTTAGAGCTTTCAATCAAGCGCTTCTCGCAAAACTTTGTTGGCGTATTTGGACTAATCCCAACTCGCTCATTAGCCGGATGTACAAGGGAAGATATTTCAACGGAGGTACGATTATGGAAGCCACCATTGGCTCCAATCCTTCATGGGGTTGGAGAAGTATCTTATTTGGGAGAGAACTGCTTGTGCAAGGCATGCGGTGGCAGATAGGTGATGGTGCTAAAGTGGAAGCCTTCAAAGATAATTGGCTACTAGCGGAGAGGCCATCCCCTCCTATCCTCAGGAGACATGAAGTTAATTTTGACCCAAGGGTGTCCTTTTTCATCACAGAAGATCGACGAGGTTGGCATATTCCTAGGTTAAGACATTGGTTTGAAGAAAAATCAGTCGGGATCATTCGCAACATGGTAGTTCCCATACTTCAACAAGAGGATAAGTTAGTGTGGCACTACACTAAAAATGGGACCTACTCGGTCAAAACAGGGTATCATCTTGCCTTGGACAATTTATTAATTCTCACCCAAAAAGCGACGGTATCCATCTTTGACCCTCCATTTTGGAAAAAAACGTGGTCTCTTGACGTTCCACCTAAGCTTAAAATCTTTATTTGGCAATGCCTGAGAGTTATCTTGCCAACTATGACGGCTCTTAAATCTCGAGGAGTAAGATGTCGAGCTAGGTGCCCAGTGTGTTGGGTTGGCAAGGAAAGTATTGAGCACCTCTTTCTCCATTGTCCCCTTGCTCTCGAGCTCTGGCATATGGTGGGTCTAAGCTGTTTAATTATTTCCGCCCCAACTGAAAACTTCGGTATTTGGTGGCGACATGTTATGAACTCGGCGAACTTCCAAATCCACTATCTCCCCTGCATTTGCCTTCTTTGGAGAATTTGGAAATCTAGAAATAAAGTGGTCTTTGAATTCACTCAACCACTTGCCTCTTCGCTTGCCCGTCAGTTCTTCTTCCAAGTCCAAGAATTCTCCTCGTTCTCCTCCCAGCCCCTAGCCTCTCTGCCCCGCCCTCAACAGTCGCCTCGCCTTGTCAGTTGGATTGGCCCCCCAGATGGTTTTCTGAAGGTTAATTTCGACGCCGCTGTTCGTGCCCCGGATTGCTCGTCAGGACTCGTTGCTCGAGGATCAGATGGGCAAGTCTTTTTGGCCTTGGGGGTCCATCACCCTGGAGTTTCCAACCCTTATCTGGCTGAACTTTTGGCTGCAAGGGACGCCATCTCTCTTGCCGTCTCTCATAGGCTCCCCCGCGTCATCATTGAAGGAGATTGCGAAGTAGTCATTCGACAACTTGATGGGAGTTGCTGTGAAGATTCTGTGGGGGGACCCTTGCTTCGTGATTGTGTTCAGTTAGTGAGGTCCTGTTCCTCGTGTTTTGTTTTTAGTGCGGTTCCGAGGACTGCCAACTGGGCTGCCCATAGAGTGGCAAAGCAAGCCCTGTTGCTGTCCCCTGTAGAGATAGCGTCCTTTGATTTTGTAGGGTGGTTGCTTTTATAGTTTGTTTTGGGGTTCGGGTAGAGGTTGAACTATTGTTTCTCGATCTTACTTGGAAAAAAAAAAAAAAGAGAATCGCCAGGGAACTGACGGAGAAGGAAGAGGGCGCCCAGTAGTGGGCCAACCCAGACAGATTATATAATTGGGCTCCCACGAATGACCAATAGTTGGGCCTGGTCTATAAAAAAAATTGTTGGGCCTAGTCTATAAGGGAACGTGGCACGCTAGAATTAGAATCCATTGGATTTCTAAAATATGGAATTAAGCGACACTAAAAATGCACGCTAACAATGTCAGCCCGCATTGATCACCCTGACATCAATGTAAATAGCTAGATTTTGAATCCAATTTTCATGGCAATGATCCAGGATTGTATGTTTGGAGCAGATGGTTGACCATACAACCAAGAACTTCAGCAAGGAAAATGGGGTTGGTTTTCGCCGCGATTGAGAGGAAGTGAGTAGCCTGCGTCGCAAGCAACTCTCTTCTCCTTCTGTACAACTCATAGCATAAACACATAATGGCTTTCCCTTTATCATGTCAGTGCTCAAGGCAACAATTTTACAGCAAGAGTGTACAGGAGAGTAAACAGGAGGGAAATTAGAGGTAAGAAGGCGGTTTTCGTTTGAATAATTTATGACGGAACAGAATACAAGCTACGTATCAGAATCGAAATGCAAGAGACCCTCCAGTCCATAAAAAGGAAAGAAAAGCAAATTCAAAGGAAGGATGCTACAAACTTACAACTTGGAGGGAGCCCTTCGTAAATACAAAACAGCCTTTGAAGAAGGCTAAATGAAAGAAAGAAGAATAGCCAGATTGGATTGGGGTGGCTCCCCTCTGAAAAAAACAACAATGGAAGAGAGACTTTAATATGCAAGGGGCAGAACCCATCCTCACATCATCTGTATAAAAAAAAAGTCGAACAAGAAACCGTGAGCAAGTGTCCATTCTGTTGAAATGCTGCAATCGGAAAATGAAGAGGATAACAAAATTTTACCTTGAAGATGTCTCCGAACATTCCTTGCAGGGGATTTCTCCGCTGTACACCGTAGAAGACCTCCCCTATATCGTCAAGCCACTGGAAAACCATCCAAGAAGAGGGCGAATTGCTTTACAAGATTCAGGAAGAAATATGATATATTGATATTCAAACAGGTAAAAGGGCAAAAACGCAGACCTCGTTAAATGCAGGTTCTCTGTCTATGCTCTGCTTGTAACTGGATCTCAACATACTAAAAAGTGGGTACGCGTCTCTCTGCAACCTGGAATAGAATCGTGCCATATCCAGTTTTTAGTTTCCATTATACCAAATTGTGTCAAACTAGACGAGAGCGATGCAGATGTGTGAAACGATTTCCTTGGTACTAAAAGAAGAAAACTCACGTCTGTAAAAGATAAGAAATGAAGTAGATCAAATCTGTTTGTGGGAATTCAAGTTTCTTAGCTTCCACCTGCTGCTTTACTTCACCCAGCAAAAAATTAGCATCCCTCATGTTGCCCACAGATAAATACCTGCATGAAAGGGAGCCAGACATGGATCAGCTGACTGTCTTCTCGAACACTTAAAGACATTATGAAAGCATGAAAAATGTCCAAGATGTGAGGCATGCATACATTAGAACGGCCCTTGCAATTGCCAGATCATCTTCACCAGGGTAACACTGCATAATCAGAATCAAAATGGTGGAACTCGTGAAAAACATCATCCAACAGATAGAAAATAACTCTTAGATGGAGCTGGATCTCAACTCTTGGCACTTGGTTCAAATGAAGCTTTTTAAGTCTTTAATTTGAATCGACTAACCTTGCCCATAAAACTGACTAAGGTCGATGCAAACTTTTTAGGATCATCACCTCGCACAAAATGAAGTGTTATTTTTGCCATGTCCTGGAAAAAGGTAATGTAGCGTTAGGCCTAGCATAGCAAGTGAGGAGAAACCAAGAAAAGAAGAGCAGAAATGAGTCCATACTAGACAGACCAAATCAAAATTACAAAAATATTCTACATCTCGCACCTACAAAACCAAATCTCTAAACAAGGACAAAAATCATGAATCTACATTTGTAACAGTACTTTTCAAAGAAGTCAATCCAAGCATTCATGCTTTAACAAAAACAGATTTACAAAGGATTAGAGGGAATACCATCATGAATCATAATTGCTAGTAAGTAATAAGACAAAAAAAAAAAACTATTCTAACTGATTCAGTCGGTAGGAGGCTTAATGGATAGGTCATCAACAGGAGCAAATACTTGAAGTGGAAGTGTGCGAGAAACATTTATAAAAGGAAGTGAATGATTGTGAAATTATTAATCCGTCCCACTACTATGGGGCATATTAAAATTGTCAAAATATATGAGTTGTGTGGAATAAGAAAAACAATCCCATAAACTTTTGGAGTTTTATATAAGCGAAAGGGGTAGATTTGCAAATGTAGAAATATAAAGTAAACATCAAATAGAACTTGGAAGGATGTAGTTGGCTATTAAATCAAACAGATGCTAACCAATTGGATCAAACAGACGTATAAGATAAAGCTCAGTCCCAAGTGTCGTTGTCATAAATACCAGTTCAGGAGACTCGGAATACAAGTATTCAGCTAGCATGACATGTAGTTGTGGGCTTCCACTCCTATGGGGTCCAAACTCCGCAGACCACCTGAAAGAGGCAAAACATAGAAGCTTCAGCAGACCATCTGTTTCAGTAAGAAACCACAATAAAAAGAATACAACACTCAGAACACCAAATATAGTCACATAAGTATAGATGCAAACACCAGGCACATACATCAACACCTATCTATCAGTCTTCCCCATCAACTCACTGGTCTCATCCTCAAGCACCTAGAAGCCTACTTCAGAGAACTACATAAAACAGAGATGAGTTTAGCCGTGATTAGTTGTCGCCCTCTGCTAAATTTCCAGACAGGTTTATCCTTCCCACCTAAACAGTTAAATAACTGCAATGCACCCAAACAACACTCTATGTCTATGACAACAACTACCCCATCAGGATTTTGCTTAAAGGTCTAACAAATGGAACACTGGAGAACTCAGACAGTTCATGAACAAATATTGAACTGATTATCCAATAACCCAGGTTAAACAGATAGAGGAAAACACCATGTGTAAAAGACGCAAATAATAGAGTGAGATGCCATTACAATATGGTCCACTGAAAACTGAAAAGCATCAAGGTAGCCAAAAGTTTGCTCTTCCTTTTTTTAGTGGTAATGAGTCCATAAATATTAAGGATGGGGGTTCATTCAATATATAAGAGAGGATCCAAAATCTCACCTTATTGCAGCTCTCAAGAACGACGAGCAGCACTCTACTCGTGTTTTCGCAGCTGCAAGCGCTTCAGCGAGTTGGTGAACATCATCCTCCTCACCTAGGTGTTGTGGCACAGGAATCTGAGGAAATAGTTTGTAGATTGTCCTGACACGATCTAAGATAATGTTACATAAGAGATCTACCAAATGAGATCTAAAATCATTTACTAGGGGATCAAGAAAAAAGCTAATAAGGTCTCCAGTTACCAAGGTTATCATCATCATAGGGGACCTTTGCTTTAACAAGTGTTTCCACAAACATTACAGCAAGCTCCGAGCCACAAGTAACCTGAAAATATTTTATTTCCACAAGCATTAGAACAAGCTAATAAAGCATAATGCATTGCTTCATCGAGAATTTCATGTCTGTAATAATTTGACCCATTACATGACACCAGTAGTTCAATCAATCTGCCCCGCAAAGCAATGTGACACATCTAATCCCCCACCAAAAAACAAATAAAGAATGGAACAAAAAGGATAGTAACATGTAAAACCACCAGCTTACAGTTCCACAGAGTCAAACCTAGTAACCAAGATTATCCATCTAATTCACAGTTTTTATGCTATCATACCGAGCTAGGATGAGCAAACATAAAATGTGGAACTCTCATTGAAACTAATCCCGCTCAAAGCTTATATTATATTTGATGGATTCCACATACATTCCAATATTTCAAGTAAACATCAAGCTCAACATTAAACAGTATCCACCGTCATAGCAGGTCCAGCGGGTCAGAAATCCCTGGCTTATAAAATTCCTCATCTTCTAGCTATTCATACGTAAAGCTGGCCAGAAGAGGGGGTAAAAATCTACACTTGAAAGAAGATAACCTGGTTCTTTTCCAATTGAAGGCATGCTCCCGAGTGAAGAAGATCCAAAGCTTCAGAAAATCTCTGAACAGAAGTATATCTGCAGCGAAGGGACTCTCTTCATCAGCAAAAACCTTGACAGTAAGTAACTAACAACTAACATCATAGTCTCGCCACATTGGAATACTGCAGCTGAAAACAAATGGCTAAGATTCAACTTCATCACTGAATGATTGAGAAATTGTTCACAAAGCTAGTACAACATATGTTAATCTACAAGAGAAACATGGCTGACCATACCTTGCACTGATAGACTTGTACATCTGTTGAGCTCCATAACAGTTACCATCCTTTATCACCTTCTCCAATTTATCGATATTCTGCAAATTAGTGACAAAAAAAGAGAGGTTAAAAGATATACCTTTCTCGCGTTAGAACTGTAACCCAATTGCAAGCCTAATCAGAATTCAGAAGCCATATTCTCCAGCCATTATTTAACAACTTCAATTAACCTTGCTTCCCCTGATTCAAACTCGATTCCCTACACTAATTCCCCAACAACGAAAACTCCAATACAACAGAATCAAAGAATTATGTCTCCAATGCTCTAATCTGGAGCTAATCGGAATTCCAAGAGTACCATCGGATAACATTCTCAATGGATCATAAAAATAATGGAAACCTCGCAATTAAAATGTTGGAGATTACTAAGAGGGGATTTTTCTCGGATTCTCTATTTTTTCCCCATGTTTCTCAGCCAACAAACCGAGTTGATGAAAACTATGGAAGGCTTTTCTAACCTCTTGGACAGGAGGGAGAGCGGCCCTTCTGAGTCTTTCGCGCGACATCTGCAGCTCTTAATGCTTTCTTCCCCTTTTCTTCTTTCCTTGTTCAAATTTTCCAATGCCGAGGGAGAAGACAGGAAGACAAGGAAGAGATCTGTTTCCGCGAAGACGAGGCTGAAAACGAGAAAAACAGGAAATTGGGAGCTTTTTCAAACATCGAAGCGACGTCGTTCTGGATTGCAGGCCATGTCGAATACATGGGCTTCAATAATTTGGACAAATCGAGGCCCCAGCCAAACATGATTGGGCCTGGCCCATTACAGCTCCTCTCTGTCGCCGCCTTCAATGAGTCCTTCATTCTGCTCTGTGGATCAGCCAGTCGCACACCAAAGCCACCGCTTTCTCTTCCGCCGCCGGCCGCCGTCGAGAGGTCCGCTCCTTTCCCGACGATTGGTTAGATTTTCAGGCTTGTTCCTCTTGAAGCTTTTTCTTTTCATAATTCGCCTGTGAAGCTTGTCGTGGAGTTTCTTTCTACCAAAAGATGGGTTCTTTATTCCAGATCCTCATTCTTTCTATCAACCTTCTAGTTAATCTAGGCACTGGGTTTGTGTGAATCCATGGGGGGTATTTGGATTGGTTGCAGATATTGACTTGGGGAGGATACGAATTGTAGTAGCTCTAGCTTAATTTGCTGGTTGATCAACTCCATAGCCAAGCTGAATCTAGGTTTTGTGCGGTTATGAATTGGTTGCAGTGTTTGCTCCCAGGGAGCAAAATGAGTTCAAGAACGCTGCAAGCTGCAAAGGTGTATCGCGACCTTCTGAGATCCATCCGAAAGAACATTGGGAAGGAAGGGTACAAGAGTCACTTTTCGGAATTTGTGGCACAAGAGTTCAGAAACAGCTCTAATCGTTCAACAGATCAATCCTGTATTCAGCAGAAGATGAAGCTTGCCCGAGATTACACTTGCCTACTCAACAGTGTCCACCATCACAAGGTCTCTATCTCACATTTCGTCCCTCTTGATGTTTTGCTTCTGTTGGATTCTTCAATGTTAACAAAGAAGTTAGTTCATTTGATTTGATTTGATTTGATTGCAGGATCTGCTGATTTCGTACAACATCGCGGTGGATAGAACAAATGAGATGAAGAAAGTTCTAGGGAAGTCTGCAGCTAGTGTCGGCCTTCAGCTTCCTGAGGTGTACCAGGCTTAGATCGCCTGCCTTCTCCTCCTTCTCTTGTCATTTGCTTCTCAAGAATCTGGGTTCTCCCAGTGATAGTGAACACACAGTTTCACAATGTGAACCAATCAATATAATGTCCTGTCTTGTTTTGTTTGTTCATCAGGAATAATATTGTGCAACATGAATTATGATCATGTATTCTGATTAGCTCCTGCAACTAGTTACTGCAAATTTAACAGTTTTTTTTCACCTGGAGAAAAAAAAAAAAAAGATAGCATCTTCACTGGACTTCAGTGTCTCTCAAGTTTCACCCCTTTTGGTAGTTCCTGTTGTGGCTGTTCATCCGTCCGTCAACGGACTAGTGAAGCTGAGACTGGTGGGTTGGTTTTTTCTGATGAAACAAAATCCAAACGCCATCCGGATTTACGGATGAGGACAACCTTAACCCACCGCTGGGGTTCATGGATTCTTTGTCTTGTTAGTTTTTAGTGTTCTACTAGATAAAACTTTCGCGTTGAGAACATCACACGTCGCCAACAAATCGCACAGACGTGGCAGCTGCGGGAACTGCCACTGCGACACCTTTCCACCGTCCCCTTCTTCATTCCTTTGAAAACCTGCCCTGGATCATTCTTTGCCTCTCTTCCTTTCTATACGCCAACAAGTGTAAATTTAGCTGTCTCCCGAGGGAAGAGAAAGAGCTGCGGGGGGAAAATGGGTTCAGAGACATTCCTAGAGGTGATATTGGCTATTCTCTTGCCACCGGTTGGTGTCTTTCTTCGATATGGCTGTGGGGTAAGTTGCTGATCCTTCAAATCCATTCTCCTCCATTTGTTCCTTTCCTTTTCCTAATAGATTGAAGGAAAAAACATTAATGGCAGGTGGAATTCTGGATAGCCTTGTTGTTGACACTGCTTGGATACATTCCTGGTATAGTATACGCCATTTATGTACTGGTGGGATAGCAGCAGCAGCAGCAGCAGCAGAAGAAGGCTTAAAGAGAGAGAGATCTGTTGAGTTGTTGGCTTTTCTGCTGTCTTCTGTTTCCCCTGTATGTTGTTTTGGTGTGACTTAAGATGTTGTTTCAGGTTTTTACTGTTTCATACTATTGTATTTTGATAATTTTGTACGGTTAGTTGCTACAATGGTACAGTTTTTCTCCTTCTAGGATGCAAATCTCCGTTTGTTCAACCATCGCTCAGTTCCTTCATGATTGAAACTCCATGTTCCCTAAAAGGGAATAGAATCCAGTGAAACAGACACAGTTCTGAAGAACTATCAACCATTCATCAATTAATGGAGAAATGTTCATTATCCGACTAGCTATCGGTCAACAGCTGCAAACAAACCGAAAAAAGAGAAGCGAAAGGGAGAACAAGGAATTTTAAGCCCCCGTCATGAATTTTGCCAACTACTTCCAAACTGGGGAAAATCCCCTGCTGAAATGAATGGCTTTAAGATGCCTGCTAAGGTCATCAACCTGACTGTCCAAACTAGCTGCTACTCCTATACTATTCTCCTTGTTAGTTCCAGGCCTCTTGTTGCAGCTGCAATTGCTTCCTTTTCCTTGTCTAGCTCCGGCCGCCACCTTCGAGTTTTCCCTATCTTCCTTCAGGCATCTCTTCTTCTTTATATTATCGTTGTTGTTGAAGGATTCCTGCCACCGTTCATGGCTACTGCCGATTTTGCTATCTAGAGACAAGGCCACAATCTCACTCAAATGGTGCTTCCCCAGGCTTGTTCTGCTACTGCTGGTGGTGGTTGCAGGTGGAGTTCTGGTTTGTCCATGAGAGTTGGACTTAAGGTTCCCTCTCCTTAGTGCTGAACCACTAGGATTTTCCTATAAAAAAAGGTTATAGATGAGATTGATAGAAGAGGATCAAGCAAAGTGAGGAGGAAAGGATCACTCACTGAATCAAAGTATCCAAGCTTTGGCGATGGCATTTTGAGGCCAGAACCTTGCAAGCCCTTTGGAGTTGCACCTCCTCCTGTAAACCTTTTCATAGCCCCGAGAGCTGTGGAGCTTCGTCTTGGACTTGCACTTGCGAAACAAGGTTTAACCGGAGAAACGTGATGTCTCTGGTTGCTTGATCTCAAGGATAGTTCAGATGAGGAGGACAATCCACTAATGGAACTAGCAGGGGAGACCTTTGGTGTAGATGAAAAACTAGAAGAGCAAAGGTGTGCAGAAGAAGAACCCAGTGATCCTTTTCTGCTTCCATCCAAAAATTTCAATGGAGTTCTGGAGGTGGGAACTGAAGCTGCCAGGCGGGGCACCACAGTTCTTCTGGAACTCCGCGGGGGAGTTCTCATGACTTGTGCAGATGATCCATTTCTGGTAGTAGCTGGCAGAACTGAAGATGGTGATCTCGAGGGTGTTGATGATTTCACTGCACTCGTCTTCCCTGCAAGAATAAAGATTAGCACACAGAGCAGTCAAACCCAACAACAGTCAGGTTCCAGCAGCTGTTTGTTAAAGGCAGGTAATTTACCTTTACTCCTTCCATGGCTGCCCATCAAGGAAGCTCTTTTACTCTGAGCTGATAGTGTGGAATTCCTCCTAGGCGGCTTCCCTGACGAGGAACCACCATTTCCTTCTTGCACTCCCTTTGGCTTAACAGACAAGGAACCTCCAACGTGGTGTTGACTGACTGCACCTTTGGTGTCACTGAAAAGGTCAATCTCAAGGCTGGCAAGTGAGCTCCCATCACTGTTTGCTGTAGAGTTGGACTCAATGGACCTCCAGGTTTCAGGTTCAGATTTCGCAACCGAGTTCCTGAACCCTTTGTTCACCATAGACAGTTCCTCCACATCTAGAACTCCTGAACACAATAATTGCCGGCAGTATCAGCATGTCATAATCACCAAGCATTGGTAGGGTGTTCGAAACTGATTACACAAGGGAGCAAATGTTTACCTGCACTGGTAAAGAAGGCGCTATCCCAGGCCAGACTCTGACGAGTATCATAGCGTGTAGCAGCAGCGGAAACTGATGATGGTTTCTTGTCCTTGTGATGATCCAGGGCGGCCCGGATGTTGAGAGTCTCAAATAACTCGTCCATGTCCAAGATCCCTGAGCATCCATTGCATTGCATGATGAAAAAAGCATCAAAGATTTAATGTTTGAATTGAAATTCAATCAATCAGTGATTCATACTCTCTGTAAAGAGGGAAAAAGAAGCATACCTGGACTGGTAGAGAAGGCAGTGTCCCATGCCAAACTGTGGCGCAAATCGCAGGGAATGGGCTCGTCGCTCAACTTTAAATCTATCTTGTTCCGACTCTCTGATCCTTCTGCCAAAAACAAACATGCCCATTAAAACCTAAACGGCACCAAGAACTCTGGTAAAAAAGGGAATCGGATTGACCAAATTTCGATTGCAAGATGCCCGATTCCTCGATCGAACTCCAAGATTGTGGAGGAATCAAGCACGTACTTAGAATTCAAAAATAGAAAGGCAGGAACAAGAAAGAATCCATAATTCATATCCGCCAGCGCTAACGGTCGTGGAAGTTTAGAAATTCATTAGCACTCAATTCCGATTTTCTCCGGCAAAAAAAGAAAAATAGAGGAGAGAGAGAGAGTAACTCGCCTGCGGAGAATTGGAATTCGGGGAATTCCATGGCGGGTGCGGCGGAGGACATCGGCGGCGAACTGGGCAAAGCCCGTACTGAGAAGAAGAGAGTGAAAGTTGAGTGAGAGTAGATTAACGAAGGAAATGGGGATAATCATGAATATAAGGGAAGAGAATCGGCATTTTGAAATCTGAAAAACGGACAGTTATGGTGATGTTATAATTGGAAAATTAATTCCGATTCCATCCTCGTCGGAGCGGGGCGGGGGCGGAGGAGCGGCCGCCCATCATCTCTCTCTCTCTCTCTAACTTTTCGGGGAGAATTTTTTTAAAAGCGATTCGTAACTGCTAATCCCTCCCGCCATTCCCAACACCCAAATATCCACGCGCTTCCCTCGCTGCCGTTTTGGCTTTTTGAATTTTTTTTTTTTTTTTTTGGATAAGGGTGATATAGGTTCATTTTTGTTGCTATTAAGGTACTACTTAAGGGATTTGAACCTGGGACCTCCAGATTCTAGGCTAGTGGTGTTACCACTAGACCAAACCCTTGTTCGTTGGCTTTTTGAATTTTTTGCTCATCTTCTAGTTCTCGCATGCTCTTCATGAAGAATCATGAATTCCTTTTTGTGCATTTAATGTTTCCTTGTTAGATTACTTGCAACGGTCGAGAGAAATTACACTGCTTCAAGTGCCAAGTAAACGATACAAGTTTCGAAACCCCTGAAAACAGGCTCTGCTCCGAAAGATGGAAAGCGAACATCATCCGACCCTGCAAGCTACAACGACGCCGAGACACCTCTTCGCTACGGAAAAAACTCCTCGATTCCACTCCTATAGCGTACAACGAGATACAAGCGGAGTGCAGACCAGTAGACATGCCCAGTGCCAACCATCGAGGTAGGCTGAAGCAAGACCCGCCATGTTTCACTAGATCAGAAGATCACGGTATTCTAAGATCCAATCTCAATTCTCAACCACAAGATGACCATGGACACTGCTAGTTCAGAACAACATCATTTTACACCTCAAGAGAGGCATGATATCATTGTGATCCCGTATATTTATACGATAGATTGAGGCAAAGATATGCTCTTTCATTTTACTCCACGCTCTACCTTCTTTGGCTCTGACCATCCATATCCATATCAACACTACAGAGAGAAAAGATCATGCTACACAGAATCTACAACTATGGCCAGGCATTTTAAACAGATGCCAGTGAAATTTCTGCACAAAACGAGGTCATTCGTCAAGCCAATTAACATTAGCTTGCCAGCCAGCTTCTCGACAACTCTCTCCATCTCCCTCTCTACTTGGTTGCAAGTGCATGTTCCAACCCTGTGTGTGCCAATAGCATCTGCAACACAAATCAACATGTCAATTGAAAACCTCAAGCAAGAGACCATGCAAGGTGAAATAATATGTCACGATCACGTTTTAATTGCACTCCCGCAACTTTGAGACATCACTCATGAACTACCAGCTGTAATATGTAGCACGTACTAAAGAAGATTCCAACTAGTACGCGGGGCATAGCAGCTCTATGTAGCACGTACTAAAAGAAGATTCCATTCATAATTTTACCTGGATGTTTGTTGCCTTGTCCAGCCTCTTCAAAACTGGAAGAAAACAGTTGCATCTTCCTCGCCAAGTGTTATAGAAAGTGGCTCGGATTTGAATGGCACAGATATGGTATAGTTGAGCTGGTAATTTACAAGCAACGACCCAAAAATGTTGAACTTTGAAGCACTGCCATAGGCAGTCTGTGCATCAGAACAGTGTTTGAAAACCACCCTGGCACGGTTAGTGTCTCTATCAACTTCCGTCTCCGATTCTTTGAGAGGTCCAAAAGACTTGAACATCTTATTCAGTTTCATCTCAGAAGGTACAGAATCTACAACCGGGAAATGCATCACAAGCTCTGCCGGTGCCTTCTCATCCACATAACCAATTGGTTTTTTATCTGGGGGCACGTTGTTGTGATCATTACCATCAGAGATATATCGTTTGTTCCTGACATTTGATCTGTGAGTCGGCTTATTATCAAGACTGACTGGTACAAAAAGATTCTCTCTTTTCCTGCTCTTTCGAGTAGTAGGCGGTGGCTGCTCTTCCGACCCATTTTGAATAACCCTATCGGTCCAATAAGTGTCATTCATGTCCACGAATTCAAATGCTTCAGTATCACCTACAGAATGTAACACCTTCCTCCGCTTACCAGGTTGATCATGCTGATCAACAACCACAGAGTTCCTGAAATCAGAGAAGAAGCCAACAAAGACATCCAAGCAACCAAGCCTTTGCAGGGGATTTCGTGCTGCTGATTGAAGTTGTAATAGCAACTCGTCTAGAGTTGAGTGAGTGTCCATTGGAGACGCCATTCTGTAGTTTTCAGTATCATCAGACTGCTGCAGCAGGGGGCTGTCATATACATCACTGCTTCCATCAAACTTCTGGCTGTTTGACTTCAGCATAGAGGGAGATCCAGTCATTTGACTAGCAGCTCGACGGATGCATTCACCAATCTTAAATGAAGGCTTAGAAACAGAATTTGGTGTAGTATTTGAGATTTTTGCAAGAGATATAGTTTTCACCCCTTCCGATGGAGCTGACTCATCTTTAAAATGATTAGGGCCCTTTCGTATCTTTGCAGAAGATGGTGAAACCATTTTCCCATCAGTAGCTCCTACTTCTTCCTCTATAGAATCCCATTTTTCCTTTTTGCCAGAACAGATACCATCCTTCAAGTTATATTTTCGTTTGTAATAATATGGCCTTGGGGCCTGTGATATCTCCAAAGTTTGCGAGTCATCTTTACTAACAGAGCCTGCATGATTATCATATCCCTCACCACTGAAGTGGACAGAAGAGTCTGCATCCTCCAATAAGTCTCCGCAAAACTGAAATTCAGGCAGCGGGGAATACCCTTTCAATCGATAGAAGGAGAGCAACTGAGACTTCAAAATCACGAGATCCAATTGATTAGCCCCACCAGCTGGACATTGTGCAAGAGATTTAACATAATTAACTAACTTGACAGGTTCGAACAAATCTGCACTTCCAGATTTGCCCAAAAAGTCACCTCTTCTGCAGGCTTCTAGCTGGATGCCAGAATTATCAAAGAGCTGAAACCTGATTCTGTCTGCATCTTCTTCTGGCACACAGGAGCAAGCCAAGCCCAGTTCAACTCGCCTTGAGAATTCTTCTAAAGCGCAACCAACAGCATTTTGGAATGATTCTGAATTGCTCTGCTTCTCTCCCTGACTGAAATGTGATCTGAAATGCTTCAAAAGAGGTGCTTCATTCCATGCAAATGTACGGTCCCCAAAATATGCTACCAAAAAGCTGTCCTTCTTCTGATACTTCAATGCTTGATCAGAGGCATCTGAGGGGTCAAATATTTGCCCAGGCCACCAAGGATGGCTTTTAACTTTTCCCCAAACCAAATCAGATACATGGAATTCACCTTCATGGTCGAACGGCAGCTGATAACAAGCTTGGTGTGCACTTCCCAAGCTTCCATTGTGCAGACTAGCCCACTCCGATGATTTCTCATCGGTAATATCGACCTCGTTTTCTTCGAATTCCTGTTGACAAAACTGATCAGTATCAAGAACATGTGTCTCAACCATAACTTCTTGCACTATAGTAGAACCAGCTTTAATATTCAATAACTGATCTGAATCTGGAGACTGCCCTACCTCAGCGTTGGAACTCAAAGTATTTCTTCTGTTTGAAGTCGAAACTTCCTCTCCACCGGCTTTTGCAACGCCCTCAGTCTGTTCCTCATGTGAATCCTTTTCAAGAACTTCCATCATTGTTTCTTCAACTGTTAATGCTAGATTTTCAGAGGCTTCTGAAAGATCAACGTTAGAGGGCAACACATCACATTGGATGGAAGCTGCTTCATTATATCTTTCCAGCCCCACTCCTGCTGCCTCAGTATTTAGATTCTGATTGTCTCCAGCGGGATATAGGGTTGCATCTAAATTGACAAAGGGATCCATTTGAGCAACATCATCTCCAGCAACTGCCTGAGTGGACCGGAAAGAAGATGCTGAATCAGGAGACTGATGACTGCTGCCATTTGCCACACTATCATTACCTGTTTCAGCCTTGAATACTAGCTGGTCTGCCAAGGTTATTCCCTGCTGTTTCTGCAGACGAGTTTGTTCAGCATCAGTACTGTGCTGCCTATTTTTCAGGACCGACTCCACATTTGAGTGAGCCCAGAAATGATCAAAAGAGATAGAGTGGTATATTAACTGTTCTTTTCCAGAACTCAAGAGTACCTTGTTCTCCAAAGGATTTGTAGCTTCACCTCCAATATATACATCAGTTGGCTGGGAGAAAGATGGTGGATCTGCAATTGCATGATAGTGATGTTCAGTGCTCCCGTTGACCATCTCACCTGATGCTTGGAGTTCTTCCACTGAAAAGCAAAAATTTTCATTAAAAGCATCAGCATCCATACCTTCAATATTAGAACAGGAAATTTCTTCGTCATCAACTGATGCCATTTTCCCTTCAACGGGATCTTGTCCCCCTTCATCCAGAGTCTCAGAGGTAACATTCTCAACAATAGGACAGGTAGTTTCTTCATCGTCAACTGATGCCATTTCCCCTTCAACGGGATATTGTCCCGCTTCATCCAGAGTTTCAGAGGTAACATTCCCAATCTCATTTTTTACCATTTGAACCGTATCATTGGCAGAACTGGATGGCATCCCCTCCAAAGCATCACTTGTAGAGGATTTTTCAATAGGATCACTACCTGATGCTTCTAAAGGGGAAGTTAAACCTCCCGCGCTGACATTAAATACAAGTGCCTCGTCCAGAACCTCAATCTTCTGCCCTAAATCTTCCAAGACAGTAGATTCCAATCCAATAGCAGCTTCATTTCCAGTATCAAATACTTCATCTAACACAAGAGCACTTTCAAGTGTCTCTGAATCTTGAGTAGGAACTTCCTCAATTTCAACAATTCGCATAGGCTGCCCCTCAGACTCTTCAGCCAATTCGGCTTTCTCAGTAACAGCAAAAGATCTATTCTCATCACGGGAAGTGTCATCCAAGCCACTTCTCATATCTAGATCTTTTATGTCATTCTCTGATGGTCCGGCTTCCTGAGAATTCAAATCCTCGATGGGCACTGCTGTGTTTTGCTTGGTTAAACCCCCATCCATGTCCTCGTCCTTTGAAAAATCAGTCATATCAACAACTTTGACATGTTCTTCTCCTTCCACTGAACCCTTGAGAACCTGAGTTTTTCCATCCAGGGAAACATCTGCAACCTGGGTTTCCCCATCTAAAACTTGGGTATCCTCATCTACTGAACCAGGCACAACCTGAGTTTCCCCACCACCGGAATCATTAGGAACCTCGGTTTCCACATCCCCGTAATCATCCATCTCTTGGGCATCAGGATCCTCTATGAACTGGGTATTCTCATCCACAGAACCTTGTATAACCCTAGATTCCCCATCCCTGGAACCATCCATGTCTTGGGTACAAGTATCCTCTACAATTTCGGTATCCACATTCAGTGAACCATTTATTGCCTGAGTTTCTCCGCTACTGTTGACCTCGTTGACTTGGACATCCACATCTCTGGAACCATCCATGCCTTTGTTACTGGGATCCTCTACGACTTGCACAACTTCATCCGCTGAACTTTGTATAGCCTGAGTTCCCGCATCCTGAGAAAAATTATTCAATTGGGAATCCCCATCCCTCGAAACTCCCACAAGTTGGTTATCGCCATTGACTGAAACGTGTGCAACCCGAGTTTCCCTGACCTTGGTGCCATCAGGAACTTGGGTTTCCCGATACCTGGCCTCTATGACATGGAAATCCTGGGTCAGTGAATCTTGTATAACCTGAGTTTCACCATAACTGGATGGATCATTTACTTGAGCATCCTCATCCACAGGATCATCCATGAGTTGGGTATCCCCATCCACTGAACCCTGTACACAAGTTTCACCGTCATTGGAAGCATCTGCTGAATCCTGTACATACGTTTCACCATCATTGGAACCATCAGTAACTTGGGTTTGACCTTCTTGAGCCACATTTCCATCCATGGGCCTCTTATCTACAGAAGAAAAGGTTCCACCACTAATCCCGATCCCAGTATTAGGGTTATTATCAGCTCCACCATCAGGTGAAGCCTTGTCATCCTCACCTTTGCCATCACTGCAACTCACACCTCCATCCTTACCTCCACACTCCTCTCTTTGTACTTTATTGGAAGAGCCCTCAGCAACACCCGAGGGCTGAACAGTTGGGTCCTGATTTCCCGCCACTGGAATATCATCAACTGAATCTTCCGCAGCTCTCTCTAAATCTACTTCACGCCCATCAAACACAAGCACCACTTTCTTCTGTAAAGTCTCCCCATCATCAGAATGACGTACATCAGACCCTGAAACCCCAACTTCTTTATCTACTCCGTTACAAGAACCACTACTTACCTCCAAAACCACCTTCTCGGAGGAAGTCTTCACGCTCTGACTCTCTTCCTCTCTGTTTCCCTCAACTTCCCCAGCACAAGGCTCGGCAGCCGGGGCTTTCTCACTTCCACTAGCAACAGGCTCAGTAACTGTGACTCTAGATGGAGAACCCAAATTATTCCTCGAGGAAACATCCTTATCCTCAGCCCCATCCATGGAAACTGGGTCGATTTCCAAAACCTATAGAGGAAAAAACTTTCATTATGGAAGCAATAAGAAGCGGGACGAAAAGAAAAATCCACTGATAAAACCCTAAACAGCATAAGCTAAATAATGTACTTGAGAGATCAACACTGACCAAGATAGTCGAGGAAAAGAATCAAGAACACTGCTTTACAAAACCGTCGAGGAAGGGTAGATTCATGGGTCCAGAGTGAGTGAGTGTATACCTTGTTGCTGCTAGATCTTGCTTACGGGAAAGCAGACGAACCCAGCAAGGGTTTGGAAAGGAAGCCCTTTTTTCTTTCTTTTTTTGTTCTCGTTCCACCCCTTTGGTTTAGGAAGCCCAAAAAAATGGGTTTACGGCTTTACGCTGAACTTTTTTCTATCTTTTTAGGAGCGATCCAAAAGGGAAAATTAGTTGTGGAGAATGGAATTTTTCTTAAAGAGGAAGTGAAATTCTTTCTTGCATAGAATATATCAATGAATCAGGGATTATTAAGTGTGAACCATTACTCTACGATGGTGCAACATATCAATGAATCAGGAATTGAATTATCTCATTTGACACATTATTAAGTGTGAACCATTACTCTATGGGGAAAAATTGATCAGTGATTTAAGATATAGAACGAACTTTTATCTAATGAAAAAATTAAAGTTCAAAAGAATATCAAATTTAATAAAAAAACACATAATTGGGTCGTTCATAACACAAAAAGTATACATAAAATTTAATACAAAATGTAAACCCCTTAAAAATGTAAAGTTTTTTTTTTTGGGTGGAAACTTAAAATGTAAAGTTAAATACACTCTTTTACCAATTACGAATACAAATAATTTCTAAAAATAACATACTCAACGAATGCTTCAATTAAAATCAACCCGTAAACATTTAAAGTATTTGAATTAGTCTATACTTTTCGAAACTTATGCAACTCACCGATTCAAGAAACCTAACCCTCACATAAACATCCAGACTAAATTTTCTCGTTTAGTATAGCAATTGCACTTTCATTCAAAGTACCAATGGACAAAAAGATAGTGAAGTTGGAACTCTTAACTCTAAATTATGGACAACTTGAGCCCTAATTGTGTATTTGTTAGCTAGTGGGTTGGGCTCTTTTTTATTTTACTTTGTTTGGGTTTTATGGATTGGTCCTCCTTTGTGATTCCTCTAATAATTTGGGCTAAATTGTAACTTCGATCACTAAAATTACTACAAAGGTTCATGTTTGTCACTCAAATAAATTTATTTCATCCGCAATCACTTAAATTAGATTAACAGTTCAAGTTTGATCACTGTCCGTTAGTCTCCGATAACTTTTGCTGATGTGGCGGTCAACTCTTATAATTGACCGTTAAATGAGTGACGTGGCAATTAAAAATAATAAAATATAATTGTTTGTTATCTTCCACCTAATTATTATAACAAATTATTTAAAAAATCCAAATTCCCTTAATTATTATTTTTTACCGCTAGACCGTCGTCGTTCCTCTCCACCGTCCCATGAATCCGTCCATCGTCCTCATCGTCTCCGCCGCTAACTTCCTTCATCATACCGGTGAAGAGGCGGAACTGGATGGAAAAGCATCGGCCTTTGCCGATTGAGTGGGAGCTTGAGAGGGCCACGAGGTCCTTCACCAAGAGGTTGTACCAGGCGAAGAGGTCGATCAGGATCGTCGCGTTGGCCCGAAGGCTCAGCATGATGGCATCGGCGTCCGCTTGGCTCGCCGTCAGGCTGTCCAGCTGACCCAGCTTCATGTTGCGTGCTGTTAGTGGGCGGATATTTGGGGATTGCATTGCTAGAGGGATTGTCTTTCTTAGCTTATTTTTAGGAGTAGTGGGTTTTGGATTGATTATTTTTTTATATAAATGAACGCCGCGTTCTAACCTTCATTCACAACCAAGCGGGGTTCGGAAATCCCCTGAATGTCATACAAAATCCAATTACACAAGGAAGGATCAGTAATGGGGAATTTGTGTAAACCAAAGGACATAGAATGACCTCTACTGGAAATGTAATCATCACAATAGTTCCCCTCCCTATAGATGTGAGAAATAAAAACCTGCCAGTCTCTGCTCAAGAGTGCCTGGAAACGACGGAGCACCGCTGAGTGACGGTTAACGTCACCCTCACGTCGAAGAAGTTGAACCGCACACTTGGAGTCCATCTGAACCTGGATACGACGATGACTCAAGTCCCAAGCCAGCTGAAGCCCCTCAACTGCGCCTCTCAACTCAGCTTAGGTGATAGAGCAAATCCCGAGCTTAATCGCATTCGCTGCCAGGCAGCGTCCTAAGTGATCTCGAACCAAGCCACCAGCAGAGGCGTGGCTTGAAGAAGGGTGAACTAATTCGTCAGAGTTGAGAGTGACCCACTCTGGAGGTGGCGGCGACCAAGAGATCAACGCATTCGTTCTCATGGGCGGAGCCGACCAATTCACACGTCGATCCTTATCCAAGGCATCTCTCAAAGTCTTAATCCATGCCTGGATATGCAGTATAAAGGCTTCAGGAGTTATGATCTTGCCTGCAAAGACACGTATGATCTTGCCTGCAAAGACACGATCATTCCTGGTCCTCCAAAGGGACCAACAAATAGCTCCAAAGCCGAGGCAGTTATACGGTTCTTTTAGGTTGTGTTGAATCCAATCTTGTAGATGCATCCCGAAAAAACTATGGTATTCAGAAGGTTGAACGAGCTGCGTCCAAGTTAACCTCGCAAAAGAACAGTCCCGCAACACATGCAGGACTGTTTTGGGCCCTTGATGACAATGAGTGCAAGTTGCTGAGGTTGCAATGTGTTGCCTGGTACGTTCCGCGTTCGTCAGGAGGCGCTCACGGCAGGCTAATCACGGGAAATGGGTAATCCTAGCCGGTTCTCGCCACCTCCACAACGTCCGCCAGTCCACCTGTCCATCCTCCACCGTCTCGTCTGTGGCAATCTCATACGCTGACCGGATGCAGAATTTGTCGTCGTGCTCTGGTCCCCAAGTGGCTCACCTCCACAACGTCCGCCAGTCCACCTGTCCATCCTCCACCGTCTCGTCTGTGGCAATCTCATACGCTGACCGGATGCAGAATTTGTCGTCGTGCTCTGGTCCCTAAGTGGCTCGATCTTCGCCTGCATCCTCCCGCGGGGGTTGGATCCCAAAAACCTGCATAAGCCCCTCCTCAGTCAGGACCTCTCGCAAAGCCATAATATTCCACTCACCTTCCGCCGAGGCGAATGCTGCCACCAAAATGTTTAGATTCTCAGGGGGGGGGGGGGGCTCTCTTCGCGGGCATAGTCAAGGAGCACGTCTCCACTATCTACCCATTTGTCCGTCCAAAAGCTAGTTGCTTTCCCATCCTGAATACACATTCTCATTCCTCTCACCATGATTGGCCAGGCCTTCATCATGCCGCGCCAGAGGGGTGAAGCACGAGCCATTGACTTCCTAGTCAGAACTCCCTGCACTATTTTAAAATATTTAGCCTGCAACACTTTAACCCATAACTCGTCAGGATTAACAGTAAAATTCCAGGCGAGTTTGGAGAGGAAAGCAAGGTTAAGCTCCCTGGCTCGACGAAGTCCCAATCCCCCCGCCGACTTCGGCTTGCATATCCCGTCCCAATGCACCAGGTGAGTTTTCCGAGAGTCCGTAGTGGAGCCCCAGATGAAGCTTCTAACCCTTTGGTCGATGGCATCACAGATGGACACCGGAAAGAAAGTCGTTTGCATCGCATAGGTGGGGAGAGAGATAAGCACCGAGGTAGCTAGAGTGACCCTCCCCACAAGAGACAACGACTTTGCACGCCAGCCAGCCAACTTCTTATCGATCATGTCTAAGATATACTTATATGTCTCTTTCGGCACTCTCCCATGAAGAATCGGAACCCCGATGTAGCACCCCAAATCCTGAGTTGCCGGGATTCCCTTGAGGCGAGAGATGTCCGCGCTGCAGGGGCGGGGGCGTGTTAGGAAAGAAGCTCTCCTTGCTATCTTGTTCCCCCAATGCCTGACAGAAGCTCTCCGGGCAATCAAGGATAATCTGACCCTGCGCCTCAGATGCTTCTACAAACAGAATCAAATCGTCAGCAAAAACCAAATGAGAGTTTTGGGCCACCTAGGGTCGTACTAATGGGCCGCTATCTCTTTCCCTGCATTGCTGCCTCGATGGTATGTCTCAGGCGCTCCATGCATAGAGTGAAGATGTACGGGGATAGAGGGCAGCCCTGGCGCAAGCCCTGGGACGGGGAGAAAGCCTCAGTCTGACAACCATTCCATAACACCTGCATGGACGGAGTCGTGATGCAATGCATGATCACGTCGATCAGCTTACTAGGAAACCTCATCAGCTCCAGTTTCTTCTGAACAAACCTCCAATCTATTCGGTCATACACTTTGGCCAAATCAATTTTAACAATCATATGGCCCTTCTTTCCTTTATTCATCATCATTGAGTAGACCATCTCCTGTACAATTATGATGTTGCTCGAGATATGCCTTCCCAGGACAAAGCTTGTTTGCGTCGGGTGGACCAACTTAGCCATCAATGGTTTGATTTTGTTCACGAGGCATTTTGTTAGTGTCTTATACACCACATTGCACAGGCCAATGGGGCGGAAGTCTCGGATCAAAGTCGGGCTCACCTTCTTCGAGATAAGTACCAGCAACGTCTCATTAACCACCTTAATCCTCGAAAGGGTAGCAAAACAGTCGCGAATAAACTCACAGAACGCAGTCACAACCGTTTCCCAGTTGCTTTGGTAGAACAGTGGTGGATACCCACCTTTGCCCGGAGCTTTAAAGCCGCTCATACTCTTCAAAGCCGCCACAATCTCCTCTCGCAAAAGCTCACGTCTCAGCCCTCCAAATCCCTCGGTCGAGATGTCATCAAAGCCACCCGGTAGCTCGAGTTCCTCCATTTGCGAAGCAGTAAATAGTTCAACATAGAACTCCCGGGCATGGGATCTTAGAGCGTCTTCATCCATTATCCAATCTTCGTCTGCTCCCCGGAGGCTCATGATGCGGTTAAAGCCCCTCCTTTTGAGAGTTGATAGGTGGAAATATCTAGTGTTACGATCCCTCTGAGGCACCCATGTCCCCCTCGACTTTTGAAACCACAGGAGGTGTTCCTGCCACAGAGTCGATTCCAACTCCGCCTGCACCTCCATTTCCTTCTTCCGTCCAGCTTCACTCCGTGAACCCTTGTTCTCCTCCTCAAGCCTCCGAAGAGTGTGTGCCAGTTCTCCTTTACTACGAATGATGTGGCTGAACACTTCATGATTCCACCTCTGCAGAGATCTAGTAAGGTGGCTGGAGCAAGGAATAAACCCATCAAACTTTCTCCACTCCTCCATCAACAAACGGCCAAAGTCATCATGGCCTATCCACGCCACTAGGAATCTAAATGGCTTCCGCCCCACGTTTCTCGATCTGCTCTCCGATTGGATTAGGATCGGCTAATGATCCGAGACGACTCTCTCCAGATGTCGAGTGATGGTTCATGGGAAATGCAGGAGCCAGCTTCTATTACATAAAAGAACAAGGAAGAGGGTTTCCCTCGCAGGCTAAAGGTCGGGTCACGACTGATGGACATGATGAGGGCTCTGTCTGCCCCCCAATCCCCTCTGCTCCTTTCTCCCAGTTCCACCACCCTCCGAACCTGGTGATTTCTTGGATCCCTGCACCCCCGCTTGCGCCCCTTTTCCCTTGTTCCGGATAGCACTACTCTAGGGTTTAGCTGAATCACCCTCCCGCAATCCCTTTGAGCTATCTAAAGGCGTCACCGGCTTTAGAATTTGCTTCGGGACCGAAGGAGGCAGGGTCCCAGGGGTCTTCTCATTGTCTCTGAACGCCGTAGTAAGTTCATCTCTTTGAGCAGGGGGTGGTTGGTCGTTGATACCCAGCTTCCCACCCTGGAAAGTCGACCCTGCAAGTGGTAGGTGCTCACCCCCGACCTGATTGGGCACCCCTACTACAGTTTGAGTCGAACTGGCGAGGTTCTGGTTAATCACGTCACCAGCTGGCTTGTTGGGGATTGCATGCACCGACACGCTAGCATTTCCAGCCATCGTCTCCTACTGGTTTGTCACAATACTCACACTTAGGGATGGCAGTTATAGCCGTAACCGCGGGAAGCTGACGACGTCGGTCCTTTGTGTTGTTGTTTCTTGCCACGGGGTTTAGCCAACATCCACTCGCCATAAACTGGATGAGAGCACGCTTTATCCTCAGCCATTGGGGTCTCTTGCTGTGTCTCCACAAGGGGTGGACGATGAACACTTGGACATCCCTTTATGGAATGACCATATTTACCGCATTCGGTACAAATATTATGGAGGCCCTCATAGTTGATATAGTATGCCTGACCTTCCACTTTGTACTGTGAGAGGAGGGGCTTCATCAAATCCACCTCCACGCACACACGGGCATAACGCCCCCGTCCCCAGTCAACGTGGCATGATCCACTTTGACCGGGTACCCAATTTTCTCGGCTATCAAAGCGGTTCCATTATCAAGAGTAACAATATTTGCAAATTACTCGCGGAACGCCATTTAAGATGGCCTAATTCGTATTAAGGACTGATGAATCGGTACTAGAAGCTTCGGAGTGTCTATGCCATACAAAGGTTTGTGATACTTATCTTAGCTAGAAATTGAACATGCATACCGGTGATAATCAACAAAATCCATACCGTAAATTGTTAGCATATGAGCATTAGCCTCTCTCATACAACAAATTTATGAATTCATAATAGTAGAAAACCAATACCTATAATCGTCTAATTTGTATACCAGATATAATGATTTT